TGGCTTAACATATAGCTGATAGATTTATCAAGGAAAACGTAAGACATCCTGGCCATCGAACAAGGATACTAATATCAAATCAAAATTCAAATGCTGATTCCGAAAATTCTCCTAGTAATTTCAGAGTATATCAGTGTCATTATTCTCCAGAACACCACTAGACATTTTCGAGGCTGACAGTGTAGACATTCGCGAATTGTACGGAGTATACTAACGCAAGATCTTATACCAACAACTTCTAAAGTGTTCGTTTTTCGTGTGCCAGATACAAAGCAAAAGACCAAATTTGATCGTCCAAAGTACGAGATATATTTCGGGACCAAATCGTGAACCGTGTTGAGTGCTTAGCTGGCTATTGATCGTGCACGCACGTGACACGACGGAGTACCAAATGGCAAGGATGCTTGACCGGAAGCCTTCAGCTAAACAAGTCGACTTAAACAGTGAGGGTCAGTATCCGATGTTCAGTGATGATTGCTGTGGTCAATAATTTTGGGGAATTATTTACCACTACCGCATCCTGTTTTACACTCGATTGTTAACAGGGAGTTCAACAGGAAGTACTTCTCTTCAGGTACATTCTTTCTCATTGCTGTCAGCGTCACTCTAGGCTAAGTTTTCAGTGATTCTACTAAACAGCTGGAAGATGGGTTACCAGCAGAAATGGCTGTGGGATGGATTCCAAGCGGTTCTATCTATTGTCGGAATAAATGTCTTTCGTGTCAGACAGTTTCATCCACAGTAATGGTGCTAATCGCTCTGATGTCGGAAATATAATACTCTTATCAACTCTTTTATCCATAATATCAGTCAGAATTATAGCCTTTGGCCACCTTCCGAATAAACGAATGCAGAACCATTTAGTGGTATATTTCCTACGATTTCAGGGTATACTATGTGTAATCTATTATCAGGGTGTACGACATAGTGGGTGCAATTTTGATCTCTTGCATGCGCGACGGATCTGGGTTCCTATTCCAAGTCAAGTCTCCTGATATGGTTCCGGATGAGCGAGTGAAAGTATTGACAATATAATAAGATAGGTATTTATTCCTACCTATGTAGGATACACCAGTTGTACAGGCATGGGTAAATATTATTTAAATTACATAAATTTGATTTATGGTTAAGTTGCATGGTTGCTGTCTTTTTGTCTTTAGTTTGTGGGAAAAATCTGATAACTAGTGATTCGATGGACCACATCAAGAAATATAGAGATATTGACTTCGCATTAACATGATCATGTGTCTAGAAGAGGTGTCATGCACCATGTTGCAGTTGCAATAGCCTGTCCAGGCAGTTACATCTGATGCGGGGGTCATGGTTACTACAATGGCGTTCACAGATCAGCATAATTTTCATGTTTATGAACTCAAATCACTTACAACTTATCGAGCTCTCCCGATACAGAATATGTCATAATGAGTGTCTTCTCAAAATCTCTCAATAATTCGGTTAGCGTGCGTTTAATGACACTTGAAGTGCTTTGGTTCCAACTCAAATAGTCACTCAACGAAACCAAGTAGATATGGTCGATATATTTTGCTACCGTCTTTCGTGTAATTCGGATAAGCATTTGCATACCACTCATTGTCAAAATCTATGTCTCAGCAAAGAAGCACAAATTATGGCCATGACGACTGTAGCACTACTGAACAGTAACAATTTATATCGAAAGTGCCAAAATACCCCTGCAATACCGTCAGGTGAAAATTTCTCAGGCACGAATATGTACCATTCTAAGAAGCTGATGAATAAACGCAACCATAAAACGCCTGATATTCAGGAAAATTATCCCAAACCAATTGGTTTTAAAACTAAGTGTTCAATAACCAAGTGGATTAAGAGGCGTTTCCCTCAGCCATTTTGCACTGTACTCAAAGGAAGTCGCAATAGTAAAAAGAAGCCATGCAGACGATAGTCAAGCACCATACAATAACACAGTGAAACATTAGGCAATGAAACTGAATAGGAAACTCATTATTAGGATCGAATCAAAATAAGATAAGCAAATATCACATTGATGGCTGGCTGGCTGGATTCAACATAGAACTTGGCACCGAAGTGCAGCAGTTCGAGTTGCCACGTTCCAAATAGCACACAAAGGTAGACAAGAAAATGAGTGAAGAGAATCAATAGAATTTAGATAAGTATAAGAGAGAAACAGAATGAGTAATGGTAGAAAGGAATATGAAAGATTACAGAGACTGAATACATCTGCGTAAGCCATTGACAACGATTTTGAGCCATGTCACCTATTGTCTCCAGCCATTGATTCTTAGAGTCCCGAGGGCCCAAATCCCGGAAGTCTGCATCTCCCTACCTGACTCAGTTTAACTGTCAGAGATTTCATGGATTGATGCCATGTTTTTGTTTGGCCACCACTTACTCTTTTCCAACCTGCACCTATATCAGCTAGTAATGCCCGTCGTGGGAGGCGATGGTTAGGCATGCGCAGCACGTGACCTAGCCATCTCAATCTATGCAACTTTATAGCCTCGTCGATTGATTTTCCCTCTTTGCCCAACACTCTACGCCTAACGTCAACATTACTTACTTTATTATACCACCTAACGTGAGAAAGAGATCGTAAACATCTGTGGTCAAAAACAGACAATCTTTTCATGTCTTCCGCTCTCAATGGCCACGTTTCACCGCCATAGAGAAGGAGGGAGCGAACTGCTGAGCAGTACACACGTCCCTTGGTTGATAGCCGGATGTCACGCCTACGCCAGAGACGGTGTAAGTTAGCGAAAGTAGCTCGAGTTTTTTGGATCCGTGCTGAGATTTCGTCACCAATCAATCCGTTGGTGCTGATACAACTTCCCAAATAGGTGAAGTGGTCAACATGTTCTATCACTTCACTCCCTATCAACAAGCTAGGAGTTGACGAAGTCCAGTCCTGCAACACCATCTTACATTTTACAGGGGCGAATCGCATGCCAAACATACAAAGATTGCTGCTCAAGGTGTTCAGAAGACTCTGCATTTTGTCAGCATCCTCCCCTAACAGGACTATGTCATCCGCATATTCTAAGTCCATAAGACTATTCCCTGGTAACAAGTTGATTCCTAAGTCGTTAAGTTCAGTTAAGGATACTTCCATTAGCATATCTATGATGAAGTTAAACAGAAATGGGGAAAGTGGACATCCTTGACGGACACCACTGGTTGTTATCAATTCAGATGACAATTCCCCATAAGCCCTTACACGGCTACGTGAGTTTGAGTAGAGTGCCTTGATTAGTGCAATGTACTTTCTTGGCACTCCCTTCACAGTCAAACATTGCCATAGTACCTCTCGATCCACGGAGTCGAAGGCCGCCTTCAAGTCAAGAAATATGGCAATTGTTGGACGCCTAAAGGTGTTTCTATGTTCTAGGATCTGTCGGAGAGTGAAGATATGATCTATGCACCTTCTGCCTGGCCTAAAGCCCGCTTGATTTTCCCTCGTTTGTTCCTCCCGAGTTCGGCTTAGTCTGTTCATGATTACTGAGCCTAGGATTTTAGAGACTATGTTCGTCAGGCTGATTCCTCTATGATTATCACATGAGGACTTGTCTCCCTTCTTGAATATTGGTATAATAAGTGACTTACCCCAGTCTGATGGAACCGTCTCTGATTCCCAGACGTTACCTAGTACCTTAGTTAAACTATATACTAGTATGTCACCCCCAAATTTAAACACCTCCGGAATAATTCCGTCGGGTCCTGCCGCTTTGCCTCGTTTCAAATTACAGATAGCTATTTGATTTTAATTTTGATTTACAGCTTGATTCCACACCGTATTTTCAGTACAAGTATGGAACTTTCAGCATGGATATCGGTAGCCCAAATTCAGGCCGACCATAGATATCGGGTGTGCGCCGGCAGGGGATCGAACCCCGGACCATGTGCATGGTCGGCGAGAGTCCTAACCACTATGACCTCACTTACAGACGGCGGGCCAGTGTCTATGTCCCATTCGGGTGTGTGCTGGATGGCGGGGAGGCTCGGTGTGGCTGTAGGCAAGTTAAATTGTTCCTCAAAGTGTTCCTTCCAGCGTTCAAGGCGTCTATCTTGAGAGCTAATTAAGGAGCCATTTTTCTCAGTCACATTGATGAGACACAATTCAGAAAGTATATTAATTGCGGATTTAGCAGAAACATTTAATTAACATCAGTACCGTGAACAGATAGCTCGGGAGGAATTTTCACACCATTAATTCTTCTTCACAACGACTGTACTGTGTACAGTGGAAAATAGAATGGTGATTACAATTCACTATAACCAGAGATGTGTACGATAAAAGAACTTGAAATAGTATCATCTAACATTCTCGATACTGCTTAATTATCGTCTGCATTCAAAACCAATGTGACTCTTTACGCCATCCGTACTTCTTTGGCTTAAGTCACATTATACTGTCTTGATCATTGTCAGACTGTAAGCTCACTCTGTACGCGTTCAGCTTCCGATGTATTGATCACACGTAAATCATCTGTTTAAGCATTGTCAAATGGCATACTAAAAAGTCACTGTCATTGGTAAATTTTATTTTGATAGTCTCACAGTGTTATACAGTAATATTTACTGATCAGTAAATATTACTGTATAACACTGTGAGACTTTATCAAAATTAAATTTACCCATAATGGAACTACACTCTACCACAGTGCCCAAGTTTTATTCTTATATCAAAAAGTCACCGTCGCTGAATGCTCGAAATGTTTGTACCTTGGTAGTTATTCCAAAAGGCAAACCAACATATTGCAATAACCCGATAGGAGTGGGTGTCAGGCATCATCAACTAGTGATCCACTGAAATAAAAAATAAAATATTTATGAAGATGTGACCACTGAAATTGTGGTCATTCTTTGGTGTTGAATTGCATTCAGCATTCAAAAGCGTCTTTTGGGGCTGTTGATTTTTACAGCAATTTTCCGCAAAAATGTTCATGAATGAGAGCAACGTGTTAAAAACTTGAGAGGCATTGTTACTTGAAATCAAGTGAAAGGGCGAAGTGTTAGGCGCTATTTACGAAGTTTTGCGGTGTAACCGTTCATCCTTACAATATAGTGGTTTTATAGTATTTTCTTCTTAGAATATTCGATAGTTTACATGAAACTGTATACAAAAATTTAAATTTGTGTTGGAATTGATGTTACAAAACAGAATAGTCTGAACACATAAAAGCTTGCTAATACATATAAACTTATATGCCGAACACGTGTTCGTTTATCATTGTTTTTCTGCTGTTGTTGATAACTTTTTCACCGTTGTAGCAATATAAATGCCTAAGGTGAGTCTAAACTACAGCAGCCCAAAACGAAACTACCTCCAGAGACCAATCAGATTCGTAAGAAGTAGAAGTGCGCAATGTGAAGTAAACGTCTAAATAGAAGTAATGTAATGTTTAAAAATGGTTACATAGGATATCATTCTTGTATACGTTCCAAGGGAACCTCCCAACTTCTCACAGGAGCCCTCATAGTGAGGTTAAACAAATTTGTAGACATAAATACGTCAGTTTCATCGATCCTTTCATTAGGCAGTTTCGTTTTGGGCTGCTATAGTTTAGAGTCACCTGAGAGCTTTTCTGGTGATACTGGAAAACTTAATAAGAGCAATAAAGCGGTCACAAAAATTGCTCCTCTCCAGTCACCTCGGTGAATACATGCACATAAACTGGTCTAACTTATAAACTGATAATCCGGAGTTATTTTTAAGTCATGTCAGAGGGACACATGCTCAATGTGTTCCCATGCATTTTCATGTAAAGAATGTCAGTTTTTGTGTGAAGATCACTAATTTTTATGACTGTTCGGCTCAGGGTCACTTGTGCGTTCGCATACCATGAGACGTGATACTCTAACTTTGCGATGTTTGCCTCCTAATAATTACATTCTGTCTTATTATTCTTTCGCCTTTTGCACTTACCTTACCTACCCAGTTACTCTAGACTGGTTCCGAAAATGAATTATATTAAGAATGTTTATAAAATCCCATGGAATATATATGATTTCTGTCCATGTGATGTCTTAAAGCAATAACAAATGGTTCATTAGGGTTATGACTTGGGATCTCTTCTGTGACCCGAAAAGGCTTCAGAGCATTCACGAGAAAGCACAGTATTAGGTTTAAGTTTGCATTAGTTTTTCAGAAAGATATATATTGGGATTATAATAAGGCTCATTGAATCGATTAAATGAATTTATCCTGTTTCTCGTCGTTGGTAAACAGAACACACACGCAAAATACTTTTTAGTGTGTGAATAAGTAAATGGTGTAGTGTAAATTTTAAGTATGAAAACAGTGCAAGCTGTGACTCTTGGGTTTAGTTACTTCACTTTCAACCTCTGTGTCACGCCTTAAAAGCCTACTTCACTTACTGAGGTTTGAGCATCCGGGTAGTATTGTCTCTTCATTCCTTGGGTTTGGGTTGTTGCTAAGTCCTGATCTATGTAATTTTTGGGTGGCTTTTCATTTTCCTTAGTATCTGAGTGAAAGGCGCTTTACTAGTCATTCGACTTTATTAACTAATTCATTACTCAGAGCTGCTTGGCTGAGGTCCTAACAAAGCAATTATTGTCGTGAACACAAGGTATGGATCTAATAATTTCATGAATTCAGGTAGTCGTATAGTGATAAATTTGCCTATTACTTCATATTCTTAAAGCGTATCAAGCAAATTTTGGCCTGCGTTAATTCCATCTATATTGTTTCGTTTGCTCACATGGATTACTAGTTATTATTCCTGACCATCATTCTTTACAAATCTAAGAGTTTCATTATGTTTTAAATGAATACGTACAAATTATCCTTTCGATCTTTTCTCGTCTTTTAACTTTTACTACTGGTTTTCATTAAAATAAAACTACCGGTATCTGCACTTCACATATGTTATATTCAATTCATTTTTCTTGTAATGAAATAGAGTATCTTAGACCAAATTGTGAAGTTAAAAACTTTTTTGTAGGTTGACCGTGACAAAATCAGTCCATGATACTCAATACTTCTTTTTATCATGTCCATAAAGTCTCAAAACACGTTTTCTTCAGCTATTCAACTGAATACCATAGATGACTACATTGCTCCCACACAGGTTAGGATCAATTTTTATAAGCTTCATTACATTAGGCGTGCATCAAACCAGTTAAGATCGACAAGTCCATTGGAAAAACCAAGTCTATCAGGATTGAAGAGGACGGTTCTTATACTGCTGTAACTGAGGTAATGTTTTTGCAAACATAATGAATTTTCTTAGGATGGTAATAAACACGTATTACAAAAAGCATCTATCAGTCTTAATGATTGTTTAGCATGCAGTGGCTGTATCACTTCTGCAGAGACCATTCTCATATCGGAACACAGCTCATCTGTATTGTTAGAAGTTTTGGCACAAAATGAAACAAAAAGGTAATGCTAGTAGCGCACTCTAGATTTATAGATTTCTGATAGGAGTATTATAGTTTTCACATTGTCTCCACAAAGCATTACTAATTTAATGGCTTATATATCAAACTCGCCGGAAAGTAAATTGGCCAAATGTTTCAGCTGTTCCGAATTCACTTCACCCAAACCGAATGCAAATGCTTTCAGAACCTTCATCACATCATGTCTTCTTGCTATGGGAGTGCATCTCGTCATAGATGTTACCTGGGCTCGCGATTTATGTCTGTACGAAGCTGGATTGGAATTCATAGCTCATTCTGCAGGCGATCAATATGAACGTACCGAAGCTATGCCACTGTTTTCCAGTATTTGTCCAGGTAACAATTCCCTTACCAGAAATAGTTACTCGTCTTGTCCATCTTTTCATACAGATACTTTGTCAAAACTGGCAGCTAGTAGGATTATTTACGTCAGATATGTTTTAAAACCTAAAGGGAAACTTCATCTCTGATTACTGGACTGAGCTTTTGTCTTATTATTTTTGTTTTTTATGTTATTTTACTCCTTTGCGTTCCCAGTGTAACATAGGGCTTCAAGTTAGGGCTTTGACGTTTCGGTAACAGTGGTATTTGTTTCTACGGGATGGAGTTGCTAGCCTCATGCCCAACCTTATCTCTTTATCGGTCTTATTACTGGCTTAGCGAAGTAAAGGAGCGCGTCAGCCGGATATCCAACCCCGAACCACCTGCGTGGTTGGCGAGCATTCTACCGCTGTGCCACCGGTGCACAAGCTTTTGTTTCAGAGTATTCGAATTGCCTTCCATTTTTTAGTTTATTTCAAGCATGTAAAATAAAACAGGTAGCCTCTTAGAGTTTGTGTAAGCTCATATTGAGTACAGTGGAATTTGTTTTTGAACTTATTTCTCTGTAAATTAAATAAAACTGAAAAATATTGTCTTGGACCATGAAAAAAACTAAAATTTCTCAAAACGTTTTATACCTCGGCCATAACATCCCCATTAGAATTAACTGCTAGATAATATTTAGAATATATACGAGCGACACATTGATGTATGAGCTTTGACCTATACATTCCGTTTCACTAGTTAATGGTTATCCAGAAAACTTTATTAGTTGTCACAGTAAGGATAGACCACATCTTGGAAAAAACAGCTTCTGTACCAAAGAAAGCTATCTTTATTAACCTACCATTCAAGGCTGACCAAATTATTCAGTTGACAGCTCAAAGACTTCGGTCAGCCATCAAACGTAGATTCTACGCCGCATCTCTTTCCCTCACATCTCGAACATTTTTGTTCCCTGCACCTAAGATTAAAGGACGAAATTCTGTAAACTCTACTTCAAACTGTATCTACAAGTTCACCTGCAGTTCCAGTGACAACTATATAGTTAGCACCAATAGAATGTTCCAATGTCGTCGGAAAGAACATGTTCCAAAATGGTTATTAAAACACATAGAAAATCTCAATGCAATTAGTGTGAATCGAAATCCATCATCATCCATTACAAAGCACTTATTAATGTCAGGTCACAAAATCAATATTAATTACTTCTTCACAATTATTTCATATAACTCTAATTCAAGCTTTTTGAAGGTGATGAAAGCACTTTAGATTAATCACATACAGTCTAAACTATGTGTACAAAAAACAATAGACTTTAACCTTCGCCTACCATGGACTACTTGACCTGTTTAAATATGATTGGTCATTAATATATACTTTTGTTTTTTATAACTGATTAGCTGTCATGCATTTTATTTTATTATTGTTGTGAACCATGCTAGTTGTAAAGCGATTGTAAAGAAACTACGAAATGATATCATCTCGAGAAATTTGTCTTCTAAATGCCTTATTCAAATTTATGAACAATCATTCAGGTTTTGATTTTAATTAAAGGGTAACTGTAGAGCGTAAGTCATTTACTACTTATATAAGTATAAAACTTGGGCACTGTAGTAGAGTATAACTCCATTAATCACAGAGTGTTATACAGTAATATTAACTGATGACGTTTCGAGTACAAACTGTTGCTCATAATCATATCAAGTCACTCACAACTTTTTACTTCATTCACTACTGTATTCAATATCATTTTTTATATTATTTTGAATCGTAACTAGCTTACAGTTACTTATTCATATTGCACCCAACCCTTTAAACTGTAGATATGCCACTGTGTAACAGAGTAATGCGGAGATGAAAAGTGACTGTGTCTTTTCAGTTGCTCATGAGCCATGTCACACATAGACTTCTAATATGTAGGAAATAAATCAAAAGGTTTTCTGATCAACGCCTTATTGAAACAGATAGTAAACTGTGGTGTGCATCATACACCTTTGTTTCACATCACGAAGATTAATACAAGCTGAGTAATCAAACAGTTCATTAATGCTGTCATCATATTGTTGTACAACGCAGACAGTTGATATTTGTTTTCAGAATATTGTTTCTAGCGCATTCAACTCAGTAGCCAGGGGTTATTTGTATCGGTTACGTTTTTAAATCACTTTGTACTAGTAGTTTTCTGGGTATAGTACAAATAAATGCTCATTCTAGGAAGTAATTTCATGTCTTCTAAAAATTAAACAGTTGTAAGTTTGATCCTCCATAACATAAATAACAAACTTGATTTTGTTTTGCATATGCTTCCACTTACATTTTAGGCTGGATATGTTATGCTGAGAAAAGCCCCAGTAGCTCAGTCAGTTCTACTGAGTCCACTCACAATGAATTTTCAATCCTCCCACACATATCTAAAATACGTTCTCCTCAACAAATAGCGGGCAGGATTATTAAACTTATTGGTGAGGAAAGGTGTTTTCATGTTAGTATTATGCCATGCTTTGACAAGAAGTTAGAAGCTTCTAGAGAAGAATTCTCAGTACAGTCAAGTGTTGCTGACTGTCGTGTCCCAGATGTTGATCTAGTTTTAGCTACCAATGAATTACTTTACTTACTGGAGTCATTTTGTCATGAATCTGATGGTTCTCTTGTCTTTTCTCCACCTACATACGCCGCTGAACTTGGGGAAAATAACCGTTTAATATTATCAAGGTATGAATAAATTACTTTTATTTTGTGTTTCGTTTTCAACTTAAATTACATCTACTGTTAAATTTAGACTGTACAGACTTGTTTATTGTCATTACGTTCGTACACGATCGGCTTAAAAGGTAATAAATTATACTGATTTTGGTCATACATAGTGCCCAGATAACGACATACTTCTCAGAGTTCTTTTTCTTTTAAATGTCAATAAATATTTATCTTTAGATTCTTGCGAATAGAACATGATGTCCCAACATACAGAGCTGCATATATTTATCTAGTTGTGTTTTAGTTAAGTCGGACAATATACAAGATAGTTTTGATATTATATGTAAAGTATCCGTGGAAAAGGGTGAATCAGCTTATGAAGTGGTGAATCTTCATCAACTAAGATGACTCAGTCATTTTGTACATTAGAAAGTGTACACTTCACAGGTGAGGTGTTGTGGATACCAAGAATCAATGGCTGAAGAATCTTAGTGACATGCCGTATAGTCCTACACAATATTTTCGGAATTGTAAAAGTTTTCACTATTCGTGGTTAAATTATTCTCTCTTACACTCATTTATGCCCATTAAAGTATCATTAATTCTATTTCCGAACTCCTACATATGCTGTTTAGGCCTGTAGCAACCTAAACTAGTGTACTTGAACATAAATGCCACATTGATCCATGTTTAATATAAAATTCTCTCTACGTGTTATATGTTATCGTTTGTCCAGTTTTGCTTTAAGCCAAATAATATCTGAGCAGTTATACGTACATGTCAAAGGAATTTTGTGTGATATTTGTGGTACATAAAATATTGCAAAATTGATTATAATAAAGGTTTTTGTATTTCCCAATGAATGAAAAACAAAACGATATTGTTTTTACTGACGTTTCGCTATTTAATGCTAATAGCTTTATCAAAGTATTATTAAACCGGAATTTACAAAATCTCAGCATATATATAACAAACAGTTAGGGGGTGAGAAAATAGACATAGGTCAAGTTAAAGGGACATATTGAAAGTAAAAATAGCGATGAAGATAACTATACCAAATAACAAAGGTAATAGTATGTCTGTTATGATATCGAAAAAAGAAAGAAAAGTTTACTAACTTGATCATCGTTCGTCTGTCTGGGGCATTTTTAGTTGTTAAGTTGGTGAATTGGTAAAGATAACAAAATCATCATGTGTAGATTGTTGGATTTGATAAGTGTATGAGATTATAAAAGCAGCGTGTGTTTACATAATGAAAGTGCTTATCACATTCGTGTTGGTTTTGTCACTTGAGGGGGGGAGGGAGGTGTTGTAACCAGGTCAGATTCTGTTTTAGTCCATCATTCCTATTCAGGTAATTTTGATTCCACTTAATATGAAGTGCTTCTGATATTAAACGTTCTTTGTGATTTCTGAAGTTTTTCTGGATTATTTCAACATTGTCAAAATCAATTTTGTGGCCTGATTCTGTGGCATGTAGACCTATGGCTGATGATTTTTCAAGTCTTTGTAGTTCAACAGGATTCTTCGGCGGTCGAAGAGATGCTCTACGGTGTTCATTTCTTCTGATTTTGATTTCTCGAGAAGTTTGTCCGATGTATATCGCATCACATTCTAAGCATTTTATCTTATAGACACAATTAGATAGCGAATCTTTAGGGATTTGGTCTTTTATATGGACAAGGTTGCTTTGAAGTGTGTCTGATGTTTTGAAGAAAACTCTAATATCGAGCTGATTGAGTACTCTTCTGATATCGTCTGACATCTCTTCTCTATATGGAATGACGACTGTTGATGTCCATGTTTTCGGGATGCGTTTTCGGCCATACTTGATGTCTGTGTTGATTTTGTTGATGAAGTTCCATGGGTAGTTGTTTTGCTTGAGAGTTTCAGTAATGTTTGATATTTCTTCTTCTTTTTCTTTCTCGTCGGTTATCAGAGAGTGTGCTCGTCTAAGAAGACTTGAAACAACTGAAATCTTTGCGCTGATGGGGTGTGATGACTTGAAGTCTAAATATTTATTTGAGTGGGTTTTCTTCCTGAATATGGATATACTAAAATGTCCGTTTTCCTTTCTCTTAACTAGGCAGTCTAGAAATGGTAGTTCACCGATGTCTGATTCTGCTTCCGAAGTGAATTGGATTCTGGGACATACACAGTTTATTTTCTCCAGGAATGAATTGTGTAGATCTCGTTTTAGTACTACAAAAGTATCATCCACATATCTTAACCATATTTTAGGAGTGAGTATGCTTGAAAAGATGTTATTTTCGAATTTATTCATGAAAAGGTCGGCGACTATTGGTGAGACTGGTGAACCCATAGCAACACCATTTGTCTGTCTATATAAACTCCCTTTAAATGTGAAATAATTATTTTCTAGACAGAATTTTAAGCTCTTAATTATTTGACTGGTGTCCAGTGGACATCTTTGGGATAGCGTTGTATCTGATTCTAGAAGACTGGAGATGATATCAAGACTTTCGGTAATGGGGATACTAGTATATAATGAGTTAATATCATAGTTTACCATAATGTCTTCTTTATCAATTTCTCGGTGTTCTATTTGGGATTTGAAATCATATGAATTCCTGACAATATTTTGAGTGTCCTTTTGTAGTGGTTGTAGTATCGAGAGTAAGTATTTAGATAGGTTGTATGTCGGTGAGTTGGTGAAATCTATTACTGGTCTCAATGGAACTGTGGGTTTATGTATCTTTGGTTGACCGTAGAATCTTGAAGGTACATAAGACTTTGGTTTTAGTTTAAACCAGAGAGGATTTCCAATTTTGGGTTTCATTTCTTGAAGGACTCTGTTTGTATTTATTTTCATTTTGTTGAATTCGGCGGATTTCTTCTTCTCTTCAATGAGTAAGTATGGTCGTTTTGTTTTTCATTCATTGGGAAATACAAAAACCTTTATTATAATGAATATCATATACCCAATGCCCAAATTTTTTCAAACCGTTAAAAGTCAACTTGGTTTGGACATATATATTGCAAAATTGGTTTACAATTCCATTTTTTATTAATATAACTTTCTAGATAATTCATTACTAAACTTTTGATTTGTTTGTATATTATACAACTACAGGTTATGTGAAGTATTCCATGGGCAGTGGAATGTTTGTAATCGGACTAATAATATGCCTTCCGAAAACAAAGGTGTTGTTCCGATGTATAGACATAGTGGAAGCGGTTCGGGTGGGTATGCAGCATATATTTTCAGATTTGCTGCAGAAAAATTATTCTCAATAAACTTGGATCTTAATTTATCAGAAGATGAACATGTACTAGTTCGTCAGCTACAAAATCGAGACTTACAGGTTAGATTGTACTTCCTATTATTAATGATAAAAGTCGTACTATTCTTTCAACTAATTTATTACGATTGATATTTATTTTATCCAAAAATGCCCACATAAAACTTCATTTTTATAGACATTGTCAACACAAGACTGTACTGATCTTAGTGTTATTCACGATTTAATGACCAACGTGCCACAGAAAAAAGAACATTTACCTGCGAATAGAACTTAACTTCTTCTTTAATCATGGCGTATAAGTAGTTTAGGTTTATTGCTTTTATCCGCTACTGGGATTATGTTAACGGCTATTTCTTCAACTTTATTGTATATATTTTCATTTCTTGGCCTACTTTGTTGAATTTAAAGATACGTGACTGCTACATGTTTTACTCATAGTTGAAAAACTCAACATCAATCTGTTTAACTTCTAAAATGGATCTACAAAAACACTTTAATCCTTTCAAGCTTACTTTAAACTTATGGGCTACTACATCTCATTCGTTGTCTTTTTATTCACAATATTTGTCTTCATATACCTATGGTAAATCATGGTATGCTTAGCACCTAGGGTGTCCTATTGGATTTATTTAATTTCGCTTTCTCTCCCTCCATCTCTCTATATTGAGAAAGCATTGTTCTCCATTACCGTCTCACAATTGTTAGCTACATGCTGTCCATCGACTTAAGTAACTTGACTTCTAACTGATATGCTTAGAGTTTAAATTCCACTCCAAATATATCTAGCTAGACAAAATGTTGTCATAATGTTGATTGTGAATTATGGCGTACTACACATAACCAATTTGTTTTATCATCATTGTCCTTTATTATTTTTCATCTATATGAAACATAACTCATACTTGATCAATTCATTAATCCATTAAAGGAAATGTTGTTGTTTAATACAAAAGAAGATCGTAACTTGGCGGCATCACTACTCTCATCCCATTCAAATCGAATTCCTTATCGGCATTTAGAAATAATAGAACCAAAAGCTCTGCTAGTATTCGCAGTAGCTAATGGATTCCGTAATATTCAAACTATTGTGCAGTATTTACGGAAAATACATCAAGTTGCCAAGTTTGAACAGAAAAAGATCAAACAAACAAAATCAATGTATCCATTCGATTATGTGGAAGTGATGGCTTGTCCAAATGGTTAGTCGAATATTATATATATATGCACGGGAGATCTATAATATACAATGATTTAAAAAATTTTTTTTGTTCATTCACGTTGGCGAGATTATGCATAGAAAACAGTTATAAATATTTGTACTATGTGTACGAAATAGGAAAGTTCAGTGACACCCTAGTTACGGTTCCCGAAATTCGCAGTAAAAATATTAAATAGTAAGATACCAGACTATCTGTGTCAATGTTACTCCCCACATCAATATAAACTTCATTTTATAGGACTTATGTGACACTAAATAATCCAGAAAATCCAATAAAGCTGCAAATTTACCATTATAATAGTATAATTCAACTTCAGGAAAGTCATACTTTTTGATACAAGAATAAAACTTGGGCACTGTGGTAAAGTATAATTCCATTATAGATAAAATTTTATTTTGATAGTGTTATACAGTAATATTTACTGATGACGTTTCGAGCACAAATTATTGCTCAAAATCATGTCAAGGTACTCATATAACTTTCTGGCTTCGTTTACCTACATGAGTAAGAATTGATTAGACATTTGAGTGAAAATCAATATAAGACTTAAGTGAAACAGAATGGAAGATAAAGTTCACCCGGAACGAATAATACGGTTGTCAATAAATATAATATGATGAGAATTAAGACGAGTGTTGTTAGTCAATCTACTATGGAAGACACAACTAGTAACAACACTCGTCTTAATTCGTTTCATCATCTAATCATTCGATGTGTTTGGATTTTCAAATAATGCGTCCTAATTTCAAAAATCACTCCCGTTTTTTGCCAAAGCGCACTACTGCAAAATCTCATATTCTAATTATTTGAAATCGTGTCATTTCCTTTATCTGCTTTTGCTAAGTATCTTAGTTGATTCTATTACATGTTAATGGATCTAAATTTCATCTAGATGTGACTGTACTACAAGAAAGTTAAGACAAAGAACTTCAGTTTGTCGATCAACTGGTTAGTGTAAGTGATGTCTAACGGACACAGTTTGGTTTGTTCAGCAAAAGTTACAGTCTAAGTTCAGACGTTAATTTCATCTCATAGTTGATTCCTACTTCTACATTTCATTTCTGATCATTCGCTAATAGAAACTCGCTTTTTTTGTGTACCTGAATTTATGCTTGCCCTCATTTTTTCTTCATTTTACAGGTTGTCTTAATGGTGGCGGACAAATAAAGGAATTGTTGAAACAAACGAATGAAGTCTATGCAAATCTTGCAGTTGCTGAACCGATGTCTAACGATTTAGTACAAAGCTTGTATTCCTTCATAAAATCACGAGATCCAGACAGAAAAAGTCTACATACTACATATAGAACTGTTCCCAAGATTGAAATTGTCAATCCCAGTGCTTTAAAATGGTGAATAACAACCTGAATCAGATAATTTTATTTTCCCAATACAGTTATACTTTCTTGGAAAGAGACGTTTTAAAAGATAATATCTCTGAAATACAAGGGATAACTATAGGGTCGTCACGCTTCCACTCATTATAGAAAGGAAAGTAGGTGCGGCAGTTCAAGGTGGTCAACGTATTGTTATCCATCTATTTAGTCATGATTAGCAGCATTAAAAAGAATCTGGCACAGTGTTTCATTACTCTAGGATGTAATTCAAATGAGAGAAAAAAAGGTCTTGACCTTGGGAAAGTAGTGAATTTTGAATTGGTTGACAAATAGTAGAACGAGGTATTGCAGCCATAAAGTTACTTCAAGACTATGTCAACAGTCATAAATTAGGCGATTTTAAGTTTGACAGGAAAAATATGTTCCAATGTGAATCATATAGTTCCATTTATGAATTTCGACGCAATTAAATAAACCATCTCAGAGAACACAACCAAATCAAAGTCATCCATCTGAGCTACAAATCATCTCTGTTATAAGAAGACGTAATTTATCTTGAATGGCTAATGTATTTGCACAACACATTCCAGACATTCGGATTATAAGTACTCACCATACATATTTACATAAAGGATAACAGAGTATAAAGAGTCAAAATGTTTGAGAATCAATATCACAGTTAAGTAGTTGAAAGCATTACAACGCAACTGGAGACTTAGTTTATTTTTTCTAGGAGGTATGTGAATAATGTCATAATTATCTGTGACAAGTCGACGGATGTCAAAAAATATCTTAACCAGATGAATACAGTATACAATAGTATATCTTAAACATATGTAGAAGAAAATAATAACTGCTTGTCACTTTTAGATGTATTCACAACTCGCCAAAAAATATATGTCAATAAGACGATATTTCTACAGGAAGTCCACCTGGAAGGGACAGTATATAAGTTATTATAGTTTTTGTCCATTCTAGTATAAGAGAAGGCCTTGGTTAAATACTTGTTCAACACATACTTTTACTTTACTTCGGCTATCTCTTACGGGAGAATGAGCCGGCTTCATGAACATCTCGAATCATCGCTGCCCAGGCGCGGCGATCTGATGCAAGGTTTTGCGTCGTTTGTAAAAGAGTTCATGAAGTTTCATGGGAATTTGTTACGAGTGATGTCCCCAGAATCGCTCGGCCTTTTGTTTGAGAGTGCAGCTCTAGCCTTTACACAACCAAGTGTGACCTACCAGGCAGTAGGAGTGGAGTAGGGAGTCCACTATCCATTGGCAGCCGGTGACCGGAGTTCGGTTCATACGCCTTTTTGAATGGGGCCAGACATCCAGGACATCCAACAAGCCCTTTGTCCATACGTCTGCCGGTGAGCTCCAGTGAGCTTCATACGCCAGTTGTTGGAGGTTAGGAGTCAGGGTTTAGCCATCTCCCCTAGACTGTCATCCAATGAACAGTCAACCCGGTGAAGAGCGCCGGGCATCCGCTTTCGCCCTCTCACTTTGGTGAAAAACACCTCCGCCACGTGAAGGCAGTGAGTAGGACTTCCTCAGGAGAGGCTATGTAAGACGCCCGGTCATATGAGAGCATTTCAAGAGGTGTGCGGAGGGGGTGGCCAACCCGCAGCGCAAGGCACCCACCCCCGACCATCCTGAGGCTTTGGAGATACCATTGAAAATAAAGCTCACTAAATATTGTTGGTTAATAACTGTCCTCCAAAACTTATTAAACACTGTAGAAGCGTCAGATAAAAGACTCCGTGAATCCAACCAGCCCTCAAAAAGAATGTTCACATAATTTTACCTTACAACGGTGAATTCCAAAGTCTGATCATCAAACAAAGACTTAGAGTGGCATTTAATGGTACTTGCTACAGAGCTAAACTGATTTTCATAGCGAAAATGAAATTTATTTGGTTTTGCAAACCCTTACATCACTTGGACGGTAGTGTCACACTCCGCTATGTTTACCAATTAACAAATACTTGTGTTCACGTGTATAAAGGAAGGACCCATTGACCTTTGCAAGTTAGGGCTACAGAGTACATTGTTTATTTTGCTGCAAGAGCAGATAAAATCGTCCAATTCAACTAGCCAGGGAAATAGATGCCCAACGTCATCATAGAAACTTATCACAAAGTTGATTTGACTTAAATTCGTTGGACATCTACGTACTTGTTTAAGTGATCAGAAATTACTTTTTACTTTGGAACTGCCTTGGTAATCCAGTTTCAAAACCAAGGTATATTTTACACAATATGATTTGGTCCCTTTTTTCTTATCCCTTATCTATGACCTTAAGCTGTAAACATTTCGACTCTTTATACCATTACTTTGTACATACATGTGTAATAAAAAGTAAGTGCATAGTCACAATGTCCGGAATGTGTTGAGCAAATGCATTACATGTTTCAGATAAATTCTTCTTATTGTCTTATGAAGAAATATGTTCTTCATAAGCTTAAAAAGAGGGAGAAAATATTTCAATATGTGTAAAACTTGGATACTGTGATAGTTTATAATTCCATATTAATTTGTTTATTTGATAGATCACAGTGAAACAGGGTAACGTTTCGAACAATTTATTGCACATCATCACATCACAACTTCGAAATCTTACGTTTAAGGTTCTCATTCTCTATTTCCATTTGTCTTAAAAGTAGCGGAATTTTTCAAACATCTGAGACAGGTATTCCAATCATTCCTGTTGCTCGTGTTCTCACTCGATACGATAAATAAAGCTTCAGTTATAAATCACTGAATCTGTGTTAATCGAATCAACATTAAATACAAGCAATCGCAATGGTGCAACTTCTATACCGGGTATATCAGAAGTCGCAATAAAAAACAGGGGAGCGAAAGTAAATAAGGCAAGTTTTGAAGCCATGTGAATACAGTGATACGACTATGAGCAGTAGATTGTGCCGAAATGTCGTCGTTATTAATACTGCATTACTGCGTGTTGTATCAGATAAACTTATACTCTATCACAGTACCCAAGTTCTAACTTATCTGTCCCGGACATCTAGAAAGGTTTACCATCCTTACGATGAATGGGAAGAAATAAAGCGAACTATAAACATCAAGTTCCCAAGTTGTATGGTTACAGTCAATTTGATCACTAAAAATAAATTGCTTTCGAAATATCACCCAGTATATAATACTGTTCCACTGCGTGATATATACGACGAACAAACTAATATGAAACATTTTAAGTACAGGGAACCGAGTCAATGTACTTTATCAGTTGCTTTTTACCAGATTATTATGGACAACCTACCTAGAAAAGCGTGATGCCAAATAAATAAAATAAAATCTTATCCATAATGGAGTTACACTCTACCACAGTGCCCAAGTTTTATACTTATAGGATTTCATCATGAGCTGACATCAGTTAGAGAACCATACTTATATCAATAATGCTAAATAGATGTTGCACGTGGGATTAGGAATTCGATATGAACGAATGGCTTGTAGACCTGTTTCGATCACTGGGGACCACATGTGTGCAGGCGTTAACAGTGATGTGCAGGCATGGTTACGAACTGACCCTTTAAGACTTCTGATGGTTTTGAAATGGTGCTGGGTGTATAATACTACTAAATGCTTTACATTCGAATTTATACATGTTCTCAAAAAGTCTTCAGAGAGAAGAAATGACATCTGCTAGTGATAATGATTACCACCATCTCATCAGAATTTAATCGTTGTCAGAAGACATATTAGATTTAATTATAGTAGTAGTTGCTATTTATCATCAGGAGAGAGAATTTCTTCATTTGATCTATTGATATAAGAACGAAACTTGGGCACTGTAGTAGAGTATAACTCCATTATGGATAAGATTTTATTTTGATAAATCACATAGTGTTATACAGTAATATTTACTGATGACGTTTCGAGCACAAATTATTGCTCGTAATCATGTCAAGGTACTCATATAACTTCCTTGCTTCGTTTATGTACATGAGTAAAAATTGATTAGACATTTAAATAAAAATCAATATAAGATAATGTACGTTCAGAAATAATACTAGTGTTATCAATCAAGTACAATTAGATGGGAAATAAGATGTTTTTATAGTCAAAATAAGTAACTTGTTAGAATGTTACAATGCACATGAATTGAAATAGAATTTTAAGATTATTTATTATCCTCCTCTTATTTGACTGGCAATAATATCTTCCGTATCTCTGGCATTTGCATTGAGTCACCTCTGTTGCGTGTGTCGGGTGTAGACTCGATGAACCAGGATTCAATGATCAATCTCTCTCTTCACCTCCCTATATTACTTCTTAGAAATTCGACTCTGTCCCACCCTATTGTGTGATTGTGTGTCAATGCATGCAGTGGGATTGATGAGTTATTTTCTAAATTACTTATCTTTGTGGGATCAATTATCCTAACCTTGGCTAAATGCTTAAGTTCTGATGATCTCACTACCCCCGACCTACTAGTTTGAATGGGAAAATGAACAAGGGGAATTAGCTATGTTAAACTGTAAAATAAAATGAACGGAAGAAGGCAAACTGCACACTAGGGTTTATAAAAACCCAACGGATTCTAGTAGATATTTAGAATTTAATTCATCTCATCCATTTTCTGTAAAGGCAGGCTTAGTTAAGTGTCTAACAAACCCAGCAATAGCACTAAGTAGTGCAACAAAAAGCCTAAATGATAAAATGAAACAGATAGAAGAAGCATTGGTGTCAAACAACTATCCTATAAAATTCATTAGGAAGATCAGAGAAGGTCAAAAACAAAATAAAAATATTGGTGAAATTAATAATGATAACATAAATAGGACAGAATTTAAGGCATCTGCAGTTTTACGAAATAAGAAGGAGACATCTGAAACCCTATGTAGGATTTTTAATGAGGCAGGGTGCCACTCAAACCTACAAATTCACTCAGAGACAAACTCTGAAGGCTAAAAGACCCGGTGGACCCAATTAAACAAAATAATATAATTTACAAAATACCTTGCAATGAGTATGAGTTAAGTCAACTACATAGGTCAAGCTAGTAGATCAGAAGTAGTCAGATCATCAGAACTTAGGCATTTAGCCAAGGTTAGGATAATTGATCCCACAAAGATAAGTAATTTAGAAAATAACTCATCAATCCCACTGCATGCATTGACACACAATCACACAATAGGGTGGGACAGAGTCG